TCCCTCTCTGTTTCTCTTTGACAAGCTCACACACCCTATAGCAAAAAACAAACAATCAAACAAACAAGAAATCTAAAAAATACATCAAAACAAACTTGTATACCTAGTAATTAAAATAATGTAAAAAGGTATACACATACATGCGTAAGAGAGAAAAATTACAATATTGGGTTGTTGGAAAAGTTATGATGCATTAATATATCATGACTTTTCCAACAACCCAATACATGAGAACAAAATAAAAATATCAGCACTGACTATTCTTGGTTGGTGAAATTATGTTTGTTTTGCTTTCTCATTGCTTGAGTGTTCTAGTTTCTCTGCTATAAGCATATATTACTTTATTATGAGAAAAAATTTAATAAAACACTAGTAAATATTTCCATGGCTTCATAATATTACAAAGTATAAATTAATTTATTTCACCATTTTCTAAAGGCTGATCATTTAAACTGTCACCAATTTCAGACAGAAATAACTGTAAAGACACACTCTGATCTCAATTTAGGATTCTCATACACTCAAATATGATCCTCTGGTCTGGGAGAAGAGATTTTATATGAATGTGCCAACTTTTATTTAACACAGTTCAGAATTTTTAATAAAAATTAAGCCCTGGGACCAGACAGTGGTGTAACAGAAAAACATAACACTCTGTGAGGTAATCCTACATGGGAAGGTTCCCAGTTCAAGTTCAGAGACCTCCGTGGGTAAGCTGGGCAGCCATGTATCCATGATCCAGGGCTTCCTGATGGCTGAGGGTGGATCACAGCATCAAGACCTTGTGAGGGTGCTTTCTTGCTCTCTGTCTGTGTCTCTCTCTCACACACATTATGGAAATAAATAAGCCTAAAAAAAATTAAGCTTTAGCATAAGAACTATACCCAAGTCCATACTTTTTCTTCTCTTTATCGGCAGAATATAACCCTAATCTGTTAATCACTGCAAATCTGGACATACGAGAATGGCAAAACTGTCTTTTCAATAAAAGTCAAAATTTAAACAAATCATCTCAAACCCAGTTATCCTTTTAAAAAAATTAAATACCATATACTTTTAGGATCAAGCCTTGGAAGGCATTACTAGTTCTAAATGAATGCCTCTGCTCTTTTGAACAGTATTCTCTTGAGGGCAATAATACATACATGTTGGTCTAACATTCTACACCTCTAATTCTCACAATACTCTTTAAACATGTTTTTTCTGAATTCATGATAGAGCATGTTCACACACACACACACACACACACACACACGGAGTACCCTCCACATGGTCTGCAATTCCCTTCCTCTAATCCTCCAGCTTTTCAGATCTTGGGCATTCATACATGTGCCCAATATGTTTCAGGCCATGTGAGCCAAGGATTTAAACCACGATCACCATGTGGCCTGTAGCACTGCAGTTTGACATATGACTGCCTGAACTGACATATCTGGGCTTGATTCTCACAACACTTATTGTTAACTGGAAGTAAGACAGACTCATCAACGTTAGGACTAGTTAGATAGGCATGTAGGAAGACTCATCATTTCCTCAAAATTATATTCCCTCAAGTCATTTAGCTCTAAGACATGAAATTTCAAGCGTTCAGTAATGCCTAATGATGCCTAAGTTTCATATAACTTTGGGATTGTTTTGTTCATAAATATATCTGTTTTGCGTAAATGTATGAAACAATATAGAGACAGTATATAGATATACATATTGGTTTAACTGTCTTCAACTCTTGGTTACAAATAGATTTTGGTTTCAACAAAGTTCCTGGCACAGAAAGAGTGGAAAGATGGCATGGCATGTAGGGGCCAGTTACTATAGTCCTATTGTTTGGAGAACTTTGCTCTTTATTTCACTAGTATCCTAATTCACAGTGAAGACAAGTGACTCCATTTTAGTTTCACATCTGATACAAAAGAAAATGAATTACTCACAAGCTGTAATGATGTCAAATACTTTTTCCACCACAGATACTTCTGGTAGGCTGGTCCCAATGCACACAGTCCATAGTAGGAATACATAACTACATGGACAGCTGTATTTAGAAAGGCATGGAATGTTCCCAAGCCACCTGGAAAAGAAGATGATTGTCACGTGGGCATTGCTCCTTAAAATGAGACAGATTTTTATCTGAACTGATAGTTTAGTATAATTATTTCTTGAGTCTTACTAGGAAGAAAAACATTCATGGGCCAGCTCTATGGTCTGGTGGTTAAGGTGGCTGGATCCCATATGGATGACTGCATAGTTCTAGTCCTGGACCCACCGGCTTGAGAAACATACTGGGCATGTGTGTGTGTCTGCCCAAAATCCCAAAAGGAGGGAGAAAAGGAGAAAGGGTTGAGGTGTGATCATTCCTCATGGGGGATACTTTCTCCTCTCCCTCTCTCTCTCTCTGTCTCCGTCTCTCTCTGGTGAGTACACAGCACATGTGCCCTCTAGCACAAATAAATAAATAAATAGAAAGACATTTATAAAACATCAATCCTATTAAAATGCTATCAAATTAAAGGAAGCTGGATAATGCATTTAGTGGAATGTTAGATACAGATCTTAAAAAATAAATTACTATGGTTTTATTTATTTTGTTACATCTTAATCTTAAGATCAGTCTTATAATTTTGGTTTACTCTGACAAACTGAGTTAACTTTTAAATATATCACCAAATAATAGAAATTACACAATCCTATTAAAATGCTATCAAATTAAAGGAAGCTGGATAATGCATTTAGTGGAATGTTAGATACAGATCTTAAAAAATAAATTACTATGGTTTTATTTATTTTGTTACATCTTAATCTTAAGATCAGTCTTATAATTTTGGTTTACTCTGACAAACTGAGTTAACTTTTAAATATATCACCAAATAATAGAAATTACATTTAGTTTTCAAATTAATTTTATATCTATATATAAAATGCAAAGTACGGTAATTTAATGTGTACAAGGTGATTATTTTTTACACGTGTCTCCCCATACAACCACTCCACAGATCAAGATAGAACATTTCCACCAACCCATAAAATTCCCATATGCCTTTCCATGAATGAACCTCAACAAAGGTAACCTTTATTCTGACTTCTACCAACCACTATTTTTTTTTGTTATTAAACTTCATGTAAATGGAATTAAACAGGATGAACCCTTTCATACCTGCTTTTTTTCTTTATTTCTTCTTTATTTTTTAATTTTTTTTAGACTTTTGCCATAGGGTGCATGTACTAGCTAAAAGGTGAGAGGAAATGTGAGAAATCACCCCTTGAGGGGGGATGGCCAGACAGCAATCCTTTCTCCTCCATTTCTCTGGGATTTTAGGCACGTATACATATGTGCCCAGTGTGATTTTAAAGTTGCCAGGCCTAGGACTTGAATGGCGATCAGTCATATGGGAGTCCAGCACCCTAACCATCATGCCACCTGGTAGCACCATGCCTGCTTTTTTTCAGTCAACATAATATTTTCAAGATTCATTCATGTTGGTGCACATATTTGCAGTATGTCTTTTTTAAAATTTTTTTTAAGTGAGAAATCATCTCGGGGTGGGGGGGATGGACACACTGCAATTCGTTTTCCTCTGTTCTTGTCTTGGGATTTCAGGCACATGCATATGCTCCCAGAGTGAGTTTTAAGCTGCTGGGTCCAGGACTCAAACTGTGGTCGACTACATGGGAATCTGGTGATATAACCATTAGGCCAGCTGCTGGTCCATCACAGTAAGTCTTTTCACTACTATGGGATCTGAAACCATATGACTGCATAACTATTTATTCTCCTGTTGGACAACATCTGGGTTGTTTCCAATTTGGGTTATTCTGAATAAAGCTATTAAGAATGATTTTGTTCAGGACCAGCAGATGGCCTAATGGTTATGTCACTGGACTCCCATCAAGGTTTGAGTTAAGGACCTGGTAGCTTGAAACTCACACCAAGTGCTTATTCATGCATGCCCAAAATCTCAAGAGGAGAATGGAGGGGAAGGGATTGTGATGTGGCCATGCCCCCAGGGGGATGATTTCTCACTTTTTGTCTGTCTCTCCAGCAAGCACATGTACTCTAGAGCAAAAATATCTCTCTCTCTCAAAGAAAAAAAAATGTTTTGGTTCATGTCAAATGTGTGGAATAGAATTTTTTTTCCCACTCTCAATCATTTTCACTAAATAGTTAATTAGTAAAACCACTGGCTTTCACTAGTAAACTAAGCATATTGGCTTTATTTAATTAGTATATTTCTGAAATAAACATCTTTTGATTATTAACCCATCTTTGTTTATTGATTCCATTCGATGCTACCTTCCTGTCATGATTTTCCTCTTTTAATTTTACCACATCTCCTTCTGATCACCTTCGATTTAGAATAAAAGCAAAGAATGCTTGGGACATAAGAAAAGGTCATGTTAGCTGCCTTTAGCTAGACCAGTAATACAGTGGAACGGGTAACAGGGTGTCTAGTTAATAGTGGGAAAAACTCAAACCACGAACTCTTCCCTTGGAGTCTCTTTCCTAAGATGCACAATCTAGAAGAATCTTACTTTTAATGTACAGCCTGACTTAATAATGTTGATCTGGAATTTAAACTTTTTCCCAGAATATTCTAATTGAAGTATTCTTTAATTCCAGAAATAAAGCGCAATCTCATAAATTTAGACTAATTATGCTAGGACTGAATTTATAAACATTGTGAGTTATAAAACGTTTAAAAGAAAATACAAATTTGTTACTACTAATATACTCTTTTATGGAACAATGTCACAAATTAGGATAGACTCTTTCATGCCTACTTTCTTTTCGTTTTCTTTTTCTTTCTTTCCTTTCCTTTTCTTTTTCTTTTTTTTTTTTAAGTTTTTTTTTTTTTTTTTTTTTTTGCCATAGGGAGATAAGAAACCATAAGAAACAAACTATTGGGACCGGCAGATGGCTAGATGGTTACCTCACTGGACTCCCACATAGTTGACTGTGATTTGAGTCCTGATCTGGTGGCTTAAAACTCATGCCAGGCACACGTGTGTGTGTGTGTGCCCAAATTCCAGAGAGGGGAATGGAGAAGGGATTGCGGAGTGGCCATCCCCCCAAGGGGTGATTTCTCACCTTCTGTTTCTCTCTCTCTATGGCAAGCGCATATGCCCTATAGCAAAAATCTCTCTCAAAAAAGAAACAGAAACAAACTACTTTTTAATAATTATTCATAATTGCACTAATTCCAGATATTTCTAGATATCACCATCATTAAAGTACTCCCTTAAAATAACCCATTTTAAATAATTATTTTTAAGTTAAATATTCTCCCATAGCCTCAATAATGCTGTACTGTGCTTCATAAACTTTCTCCTCCTGACTAGAATAAATTATCCTTTAGAGATAATCCTTCAGTTTATCACAACTTCCAAGTAAGAAGGAACTGAATTAATGAAGTTTATTAACAATCTTCCAGTTTATATTGGGTCATCAGGAAAGTCATGATGTAGTCTTCCATGTTTTTCTAGGCAAAAATGTGCCATGACCTTCCTAATTATCCAATAATACAGTCATGAACTGAATAATGATGCTTCAGTGAATGATGGACCACATATACAATGGTGAGCCCGTAAGATTATACCAGGCTATCTCACAGAGCCCAGGTGTGTGGCAGACTACTCCATCTAGGTTCATGTAGGTGCACTCTACGATGTTCACAGAACGATAAAATCCCGACAACAAACTTTTTGAAATTAAGTAACACGTAACTGTATTTACCATTGTATTAGTTTTCTTTCCCAAAAGAACTGCGAATAAACAAATTATTGTGGTATGAAAACACCTTTTCTAGAGTAATTTAAACATAGAATAATTGTCTACTTTTGACAGTTTAAGGGTCAAGTTGCTTAACAGGCTTAAGCCAAATACCTTTCAAGTCCACTCTCAAGTCCACTTGTGTTTCATAATAATATTCCCAGGGGAAATCTATTTCACCCAATGCAAACTGTATCAGAGCCTTTCTAACTAAGACTTCTCTCCCGTTATTTGACAGAAGAATGTCTATTTTCCAATTGGATACTTTCACCCTTTAATTTTTTAAAAAGAATTATATATTTAATTTTATTTATTATTATTCACTTTTTTTTTAAATGGCAGAGGGCACAGAAAGAGAAAGGATGCCCCAAGAAGGCACAGTCACACTGCAATCCTTTTTTCTCCATTTCTCCATTTTGTCAGGATTTGTGGCATGCATGCACTTGCACTCAGTGTGTTTCTAAAGCTGCAGGGCCAGGACTCAAATCCCAGTCAGCCATATAGGATCTGACATTCCATGTACAGCACTTAACCACCGTGCTGTGGGGCCAGCTCAGACAGTTGAACCATTTAAATGTCCTAAAATGAAGATCCTATAGGCAGAAAGTGAATATGCCACTAGTGTAGCTATGAGTGTTTAAGTAAGATTTACTGATCGAAATATGCCAACAAATATAATTAGCTTATTTCCTCTAGTATAATTATTTTCTAATAAGTCATTTTAATAAGTTCATAGAAAAGTCACATTTCAGTTAGTAATGCTTTATATATCTTCTTTAGAAGGCATCTCTAATATTTTCTAAGCTTGCTTTCTTCTTTATAATAGGTCTGAAAAGCAAACATCTCAGAATGAATTACCATCAGTGCCATCGCATTTCATACCTTTGGTTTGAAAAGAATAAAGCAATCACCTTAGTAATTAGTACAGTTCTCCATATCTTTAGAAGGGGCATATGCAAAATTAATATAAACACCTGCCATAGAAATATTTTAACCATAGTCAAAAGAAAAGTTGGATTGCTATTATATTATCTCAGAGAGAAGTACAAAAGGCAAACAGGAAATTAAATACTAGATAGAGATCAGCTGTGCTCAAGTTTTTGCAAAGGACCATTTAAACTGGACAGTGCTGTTTTAGGAATGGAAGTCAGTGCCAAACCACATTCCTGGAAATAGCTCTTATTGCCATGCTTGTCACTGAATAGGTACCAGGTATGCTATCCAAGTGTTTACTAGAATTCTATACCTACGACTAACAAAAACGCTAACCCATAGAACATAGGAAAGAGACAAAAACATGGTCT